AAAAGAGAAAAGCCCGGGCGGGGGGCAACAAAAAAAAGAGAAAAGCCCGGGCGAGGGGCAACAAAAAAAAGAGAAAAGCCCGGGCGAGGGGCAACAAAAAAAAGAGAAAAGCCCGGGCGAGCGAGAGCAAAAGGCAAAAAGGGAGATCTATGCATATGGCCCCCCTCTTGATAGTAACCAATAAGAATGTCTAATTGCACTGACAATCTCACACAACCATACCCAGATTTCATAGTGTGAGGCAGGCAGTGACAATTACATTGCCCAACTTATGTCTGGACAGGTGTCCAATATTCATAGACCTGCTACCAATCTACTCACTGAACGTGAAGAGTCCGTCCCAGGAGCGGCAGAACTCCTCCCAGGGTTTCGGAATGAACGTGCGCAACCACTTGGGAATGGCTCCAGCGTACATGGTCATCTTGAACATTCTGAACATCAGCTCCAAAGCCTCTATGTACTCCACTGTTTGCTTAGGCACCACGTTCTCTAGACATCCCAGCCGACACTCGTACAATATGGTGGCCACAGCTAAGGGGGAAGCAAACAGCAAAGCAATCGCTATAAGAAAACTACTCGGCAAACATAATCCAAAATTGTAACTTTATATGAGCACCGGTGAGTGCAATATTTCACCAGCTTGTTGTATTGATTATACTGGATCAGGGAGGATTCTCCACAGTAGTTTGTGTCGTTGTCCCTCCCAGGGCCGGATTTCTCACAAGGCCAACCAAGGCCTGGCTTTGGGGCAGCAGGGAGTAGAGGGGCAGCAAGGGTGTGGAATTCCTATCTCCCGATGCCCGGGACATGCAGTTCTGGGCGCCGGGCGGGTAGTTTTCTACATTTAGCCCTGCTTTGGGCTAGCAGAGCTAAATGTATTATCAAGGAAGCCTCCAGCCTGCATGCAGTGATTATGTCCAATAACGGTCACATGATTGGGAACCACTGCCTCCATCGTCACTGGGGTCCCCCCGACTGCCAGAGACAGGCAGAACTGAGAGCTAGCAGAATGTCACATGAATAGTGTTATCTGCTTGCTATCAAATGGGAAGAATGTTTATTATTACCATAGGGAGAGCGAGAAGGCGCACAAGAAAAGGGAAAGAAGAAAGAAATGAACGAGAGAGGAGGAAGTGATTACCGTAAGGCGCACATTACAGTATTGTTTTATGTTAAACAATCTGAGGGTTTAATGTCACTTTAAGCTTGCGGAGTGCTGAAAACTGCCGCAGTGCTACATTGAATGCCGAAACCTTCTGAACAAAGCTTTTGAAGAGTGCTGCAACTTTTGAAGGGGTGGGGTGGCATACGGTTCTCTCACTTGGTGCACATTATATCCTGCAGGGAGGCGCGCGCGCGCGGCTTCTGCCGGTGATTTATATACTGTATATAAAGATCAATATATGATGATTAGTTTGAGATCAATAAAACACACAACTCTAATACATTTTGCGATTCATTTAAAAACCGCGACTATTGCCACCAAAGTGATTTCTTACAAACCTTCCATGGAATATTTGAAGTAAAGGTCATTGACGTTGGTCACGGTCTCGCCGTCCTCCTCGTGGCTGCGGAGGTTTTGGATCCTCTTGATCAGGTCGCCGACCACCTCATTGACTCCTCCGGCGTACACAAAAACGTCTCGGGGTCGCAGGATTTTCTGCCGCAAGACGCTTCTCATGGTCAGCCACTTCTTCCCTTCCCTACACAGAGAAGATACAAAACAGTCTGCACACTGACCTTCACTTCCCTCACAATTTGTAGCCGCTTCACAAATGTAAAAAAAAAAAAAAAAACATCCAGTATGACAAATCTAAAATACAATTCGGGTTTGTCTATAAATATGCTTTATACTTGTAAATGTATTCCGTATATAAAAAACACATTTTATTTTGCGAATTATCCTTCTATAAATGTAAGTTTAAAGCAAAATTAGAAAGGTTTGCTTTACAGAAATGAAAGAAATAGCGAGCTTTCAACAATATTTCCATGAGGTGATATGCATTGAAATTTGTAGCAGGCAAAATTAAGCTTTTTCTTTTCAAACTATATTTATTTATCGGGAGTGGAATGACTTAGAGAACTATGAGGCGAGTGATTTCCACTCACCTAATAGTTCTAGCCGACCTGTGACAATGAGACTGTCACAGGTCGGCTCAGTAGATCGGGAGGTGAGCGAACACATACCGGGTTCGCTCGCCTCTCGATCCTGTCACGGCTCTCTGCCGTGACAGGGG